ATGTTCCACATGAAATTCTCAGCAGTAAACCAGGGAACACAGAAGGTGTCACATGCAATGCACACAGGTGGTGAGAATGAACAAATGGATGCCAGGGTGGGCGGAGGAGGAATGGAGAGGTAGGGCCAAGCATGTGAGAAGAATGTTTCCATAAAGTGGTTGATGGATTGTGAAGAGGAGGGACTTTTCTTTTTTACTTAGTTGAGGCTATGTTTAGGTGTTAACCTAATTACGGCTTTCTTCCAGGCAGAATGAAAGAGTACATCCTTGCACAGAATGTTTGCCTAATGTCCGTAAGTTACAAGTTTTGTGGATAAGTATTTCAAAAAGAAAGCATTTTCTCTATTGGTTTTTCACTAAGACCTTGTTTGAGATATTTAGGGGTTCACTTACAAAACTTAAATATTCTCTCTTTGGCATTCCTCTCTCCTTGCATCACCTAAGGCCCATACCATTTTCTTGACTTGCTTTTGAGTACCTTTTGTATACCAGGTAGCAAACAAGTTCAGGGCTTATCAATGTATTATCTCTGTCCTCATGGCTTTAATTTTGCCTTAATTTTTTTTAAATACAGAATTGGTTTATGAGGGAGTTTTAGAAGTATTTTAACTAAACACCAGGAGCATGGATTAATTTTTGGAGGCAGATAAATAGGACCCTTTTGGCTATTGTTAAGGAAAGATTAGGCGTTCCTCTTTGGTTACTGAGAAGTATTAGTTGTGATCATTGCAATGTAACAGCCACTGTCTTACTATGTAGAAATAAATGGGAATTCATTTAAAATAGAAATACTGTGTTACATAAATAATTTTACTTATAAAATTTAATAGTTGAATATTTTTACACTAAATTTGATGATATATATATCCAAATTTGCATACTATTACTCAGCTTATAGAAAAAGAAGAATAAAAAAACCAAATTCTAAAAGGGTGGGATCATACCTCTCAAGTGACTTAATAATGCTTAACCTTTGGGATGGAAACAAGGACAACTTGACCAAAGATAATGCAATCACCAATTGCCTTTGAAGCCAGCAATGATTAAATGCAAAAACAAAAACAAAGCATTATTCCTTGCATTTGACTGAAGACTGAGTGCTATAATGTTTCTTGCTCTAAGAAGTTAAACCTTTGAAAAATAACATATAGTGCTTCTCACAAATAAGAATTATATTCTCTGAATCCTTTTACTAGCTAGTTCTCAAGACAGGTGTTTTCTCTTTGACTGTTTCCTTATCAGCATTTAAATCATCTTAAACTTACTATTAAATCTTTTAAATTAGATGTAGCAATTTGAAATACCTCATATGACATTATAATTATTTTTGATAGTTTTAGTACACAGGCTTTGTGTGCACATGCGTCTAGAAGCGCTTCTTTAAAGAAATGAAATGTCTTCTTTTTTAAATGTTTACTTATTTACTTTTGAGAGAGAGAGAGAGAGCACGAGTGTGAGTGGGGAGGAGCAGAGAGAGAGGGAGACAGAATCCCAAGCAGGCCCCACACTGTCAGCGCAGAGCTCGACGCGGGGCTCGAACTCATGTGCCATGAGATCGTGACCGGAGCTGAAATCAAGAGTCAGATGCTTAGCCAAGCGCACCAGGAGCACTTCTATTTTTTAAATATTTAGTGAAAAATTTTAGGAACAGGGGCGCCTGGGTGGCGCAGTCGGTTAAGTGTCCGACTTCAGCCAGGTCACGATCTCGCGGTCCGTGAGTTCGAGCCCCGCGTCGGGCTCTGGGCTGATGGCTCAGAGCCTGGAGCCTGTTTCCGATTCTGTGTCTCCCTCTCTCTCTGCCCCTCCCCCGCTCATGCTCTGTCTCTCTCTGTCCCAAAAATAAATAAACGTTGAAAAAAAAAATTAAAAAAAAAAATTTTAGGAACAAACAGATCTCAGAAATTTTTATAGAGACATTTTGTGCATATAGGTTCCTAAGTACATTTGAAACTCTTCCTAATGCTAACATGGTTCGGTTTATCCTTTTGTGTGGTTTAATTTTTGTCTATACTTTACAATACATACGGGTAATTTGTCATTTCTCAAGAGCACTTAATTGCCAACTAGCTTAATTGCCAATTTAACATGGCTCTGTGAGTTCCCATATATATTTCTAAAGTGTGCATAGCACTATGTATCAGTAAGTGTATATCAGTCTTCTTCCAAAGGGGATGGGATATCCATTTAATTCTAACTACATTTTATTTAGCATATGGACCCAGAGACTGATAATGATTTGGACTTATTTTAAAAAATCATGGTATAGTGCCTGTCTCATTTCCAAACATGACTGTTTTGGTATGTATTTGTGTAACGGGGCAGAGTGGGTAGGGCATAGAGGAGTGAGTTAAGTTGGTACCAATTACACATGGTCAAGAACCATCGACTCATATATCTCAAATGTCCCGAGGCGATGTTGCTATAACATTTTCTCAAAATGGACTTCTCTTTGCCTGAGAAGAGTAAAATAATATAGTGTAAGTTAGCTGAGGAAATTACTATGTGCTCGTGAGCCCTGAGAGAAATCAGGTCATCTTCTACTACAGAAAGGTGGTAAGCCCTTATGAAACTCGATATGGTATTTCTCGCTTTTCGGTTATTTTCTCGCCAGCCTTTAATTTTGTGGTAGGCAATGTGTAAACGTTTGGCTGTGGCAAATTTTGGAGTCTTAACAGCAGGGTAAGAACCAACAAGAGGAGAGAACATGGTGGGTGACTGAGCAGAGTCAGAAGACACTCAAACGTGGGGAACAGACATGGGTACACTGGACTGTTATTGGCATCTCAGCCTTACCACTGTCTGAATTTACATTCTTCTGCAGAGGAAATCTCAGAAAATACAATTCTCAGAACCCCTTTTCAATACGTTTCTAGGTTAGATTCTGTTAAGTGATATACATTTACATGAGGTTTCAAAGGTGCAGAAAGGGAGAGCCATTATTCTGTGGCAGCTGAGATCATCCACCGTGGCTTCCGGGGTCCCCCGGAGTTGCCCACTGTGGTGCTACAGGTAGCTGTAGATCATTGATGGAAGCTTTCCTGCGATCCCTGTACTTCCTTGTGTCCTGATCAAATAGCTTGGCCAAGGTCAGACAGCTAAGTGAATGACCATGAATTCAAGCTCAGGAATTGAACTCGGGGGCCCATGCTTTGGGCCACTGTATATAGTGACCTCTGTGTAGGGAAGATGGGAGGTTACTCCACTCTCTTCAAGGGCACCTGTGTTTTCTTTTAAATTTTTAAAAAAATATCTTTTAAGTTTTATTTATTATTTTGAGAGAGAGAGAGAGAGAGAGAGAGAATGAGAAGGCAGGAGGGGCAGAGAGGCAGAGGGAGAGAGAGGATCCCACACAGGCTTGGCTTGTCAGTGTGGAGCCCTGTGTAGGGCTCTATCTCACAAACTGTGAGATCATGACCTTAGCTGAAATCAAAAGCCAGATACTTAACCAACAGAGCCTCCCAGGTGCCCCTTTTTAAAAATAATTTTTTAAGTTTATTTACTATCTTGAGAGAGAGAGAGAGAGTGCATTGGTGCTTTCTTTTCATTTTTACCAAATCCTTAGGCCAAGTTTTGGTCATTCTTTAACTGAAAAACTTTAACCTTTTTGATTGCCTCCATTTATCACATCAACCTATAACATGGTCTACTTTATTAAATACCTGAAGGGGTACATTATTTGAATTCATCCAAAAGCCTGAGCTTAAAGTGCTTGTATTGGGTAGCTTTATTAGCACTTCCCAAACCTCATCATTCATCATGATCCCTGGGAGGGCATTCCAATAATAAATAATCCCATATCCTGTATCAGACCTACTGAATGAGAATTTCTGGGCTTGGAACCGGACATCTGTCTTCTCAACAAGTATCCCTAGGTGATAATAATGCATTCAGGTAGGTATGATCTCAGGTTTCAACAGAAGAGAAGTTTATTAGAGAGGTTTTATATATTCTACTTCAACAGAGCAACTCCAGTTTTAGGTTGTTTATACATTGAGGTTCCACTGGATTTTATTTGCTAAAAGAGTTCCACTGCCTTTTTTTTTTTTTTTTTTTTTTTTTTTTTTTTTTTTTTTTTTCTGAATAGCTCTCTTCAATTCTATATATCTTCCTGTCTAATTTCTCAGCAGCCACATGAAGTTGCAAATGCTTTTCTTTTGCAGCTCACCAGGACACTTTTTAACATTTTGCATTCCATTTCTTCCTGATTCTCACAGACAACTAGAATTGAGCTGTAAATACTCCCAATTAGACAGACGCTCCTTTACTTTTCTCTCAGCACTGAAATCATTGCAGGCATATAATTACAAAATGGAAACACTGAAGAAAAAAAACTCTCTCATTTTTCTTTGAACAGATTTCCATATATCTATGTGACCTTGTTTGTTTGTCATTTATATTAATATATTCTGAAAGAAAAAGGAGTATTTAATTTGCTTGACATAATGTTCATGATCTGAGTCAGGTGTACTTAAAAGCTGCGATCACTATGCTAAAGTAATGGTTTCTGCCATTTAATGAATCTGTTAGGTTTTTTTTCCCTCCTTTGTTTAATGATTATGGACTGTCCCCCTAAGATTCTATGTTACTCGTCTTAAGGAATGAAGGAGGAGAGCAGGTGAGAGAACAATACCACGTACAAATTTCTGATGATGGCTCGAGGTGTATTTCAAAGCACACATCAATAACATCATGTTCACATACAATGCATGGAATATTTCAGAATTTTTGCCCAATTAGAATTATACCAACTTGAAATAAATACATACTATTTTGAAACTATACTATGTGTTTATGTCACTTTCTTTCATCTCTGTCTCTATGTCTCTGAGAAAGCTGCAGGCACCCTGAAGGGCTTTAATTTCTCAAATGCCGCACCTATTGCCATCACCGTCCCTCCCTTTCTTTGTGCACCAAACCTGCACCTTTGAGCCGCTATCTATGACGCGTCATGGAAAGCACTTGATGTGCATTGTGTCAAACTATCTTCAATATAATGGCAGGATGTAGCTATCATACCTTCTCCCGCTGTACAGATAAGGAAGCTGAGACCTAAAGATGTTAAGAAACTTTCTCAAGGCCACACTGCTAGGAAGCAGAGGAAGTTGGATGTAAATCCCAGCTTCTAACTCTAGAAGCCACTTGTGTACCAGGATGCTGTTTTGCCCAGCCCTCTAGGGAAACCGAATGTCAAATGTCAGCTCAACAGTCATTAGCCAAATCTCTTCTACCCTCTGTCTTTTCCTTTTGCCTCCTTTCCAAGTCCAGGAGGCAGCATGCTGTGGTGGGGTAAGCACTGCCTCTATCACTTTGGCAGATATATGAACTTGGGAGCTATACTAGTTATTTTAACTCTTTGAGCTTCAAGTCTTCTGAAAAAAATGGACACACCAACCCTACAGTGTTCTAGTGAGGATTAAACAAAATAGCATGTGTGGATGTGCTAAACCCAGGGCCTAATCAATAGATGTGCAATAAACGCTAGCTTGTCTTCTTGCCTTCTTTGCTCTTTGTATCTTTGTTACTAGCTCTGCAAGACAAATAGACACAAAAACCCTAAGCTGCTTTTCATTCTATGTTCATCAAATCTCCATAATTGGAGGTGTTCAAGTTAAAAATGAATGGCTCCTGGACTGAATGTTATGGCTAGAATTCAAGCCATCTGGGCTTAACCAACACTTAATTCATCTCAGCTCCCCAATTCTAGGATTCCATGGCACATAACTGATCACAATGTGTCATTTTATTCTTTAGTGAAGAATAGTTGACACACAATGTTGCATTAGTCTTAGGTGTGGAGCATATTGATTCCACAACTTTATACATTGTGCTGTGCTCACCACAAGTATAGCTACCATCTCTCACCTTACAACATGATTCTAATACCACTGACTATATTCCCTACGCTGTGACGTTTAGCCTTCTGACTTATTTATTCCAAAACTGGAAGGCTGTATCGACCACTCACCTTCACCCATTTTGCCCATCCCCCCACCCTTCTTCCTTCTGGCAGCCATCAGTTTGTTCTGGGTCTGTTTCTGCTTTTTGTTTGTTTGTTCATTTGTTTTGCTTTTATACATTCCACATATACGTGAAGTCATATGTTACTTGTCTTTGACTTTTTCATGTACCATAATATACTCTAGGTCTGTCCATGTTGTCACAAATGGCAACTGATTTTTCACTTTTTATTTTCAAAATTTATTAAAAAATATAACTATATCCATATATTTTTTACATTTATTTATTTTTGAGAGACAGAGAGAGACAGAGAGTGAGCGGCAGAGGGGCAGAGAGAGAAAGAGACACAGAATCCGCAGCAGGCTCCAGGCTCCGAGCTGTCAGCACAGGGCCCAATGCAGGGCTGAACCCACAAACTGTGAGATCATGACGTGAGCCGAAGTTGGACACTGAACTGACTGAGCCACCCAGGTGCCCCTATCTATATTTTTATATTGGGAGGGAGGGAGTAGAAAAGAAAGCAGCCCCTGTACTGGGTCCTATTCAGTCACAGCTTCTTGTTCCATAGGGTTAAGGAAGACTGAGGAAATAAAGGTTGTTTGGAGGAATTCAGGTGCGGCTGCTTCATTTGTTGTGATGGGTACAGGGATGAAGTGAAGTGTGAGGGTTCCTCACAGCCTCGGTCTTGTCCTGGAACCCGGGGCAAGTAAAGCGCCATTAAAAAAAAAATTTTTTTTTTTAAAGGTTTATCTATTTTTGAGAGACAAAGAGAGCGTGAGCAGGAGAGGCGCAGACAGAGAGGGAGACACAGAATCTAAAGCAGGCTCCAGACTCTGAGTTGTCAGCACAGAGCCTGATGCAGGGCTTGAACTCGCAAACCCGGGAGATCATGACCTGAGCTGAAGTCAGCCGCTTAACCGACTGAGCCACCCAGGTGCCGCCAATTTTTTTAATGTTTATTTTTGAGAGAGGGAGAGAGACAGAGAGACAGAGAGATAGAGACAGAGCTTGAGCAGGGGAGGGGCAGAGAGAGAGGGAGACACAGAATCTGAAGCAGGCTCCAGGCTCTGAGCTGTCAGCACAGAGCCCGACGCGGGGCTCGAATCCACAAACCGCGAGATTGTGACCCCAGCGGAAGTTGGAGGCCGAACCGACTGAGCCACCCAGGCGCCCCGAAAGCGCCATTTTTATTGCCGCCTCTTGGGACTGTCGAGGGCCACGCGGGGGTACGTGCCAGCCCAGCGAGTCTGCAAAGACGGCGAGCAGCAGCCTGACCTTCCTGGCCAGCCGGGCTCAGCTCTGGCGCGGTCTGTGCGCCAGCTCCAGGTAGGAGACTTCAACGGCGTTTTATTCTTAAAAGGTTTAATCACATGCGGCGTTCCTTGTTTCTGTTTTGTTTTATTTTGTTGACTGCGTCTTGTGTCAGAAACAGATTTGAAACCGAACTACCCCAGCTCAGCTGCACCAAAGTTGCAGTCAAGTGAATAGCGGTGCCTTCGTTTAATAGCCTGGTATTCAAATTGCTAATAATGAAGCAGAATGAAAACACATGCTTTCATATCTATTCTAGTTTGGCTACTACCCAGATTGTGATCAGTAAGTCATGGAACGAAAGTCTGTGTTGCAAGAAATTCACTTAACTTTGACTAATTTGTTTATTATTTGGCACCTAAATTTTGTATTGGGGTCAACTCTAGCTGCCGTACCCAAAAAAATCTCAGTGTCTTAATCCAGTAGAAGTTTATCTCATTCTCAACGTGAAGCATAATGTGTATGTTCCTGGTCAGGAATAGTCTGCCACCTGGTCATTCCAGGGAAAAAGCCAGGTTGCCACCTCTCCTACTTTCATTATCATTTCGGGCTTTGGCTTTCTTCCCTGGATTCTTTGTAACTCAACCTCAGGACGAGAGAGCGTGGACAATCACTCAGGAAGTACTGAAGGACTAGAACTTGAAGCTGTTCCTATCACTTCTGCCTACATTTCATCACCCAGAATGCAGTCCCATAATCATCTCTACCAGTAGAACAGGCTGGGAAATGTAATCCAGCTATGTGTTTAGGAGGCAGGGGAGACAGATTTTGCTGAATATCCAGCAGTTTTTGCTATAGGTTATTTCCAGTGTTTTGCTGTAATAAACAACTGTGAGATGAACATCACTTTATTTCAATCTTTGTTCATATTCTTAAACTTTTCCTTAGAATACATTAGTTACAGTGGAAAATTTGGGTCAAAGACATGTTTTAACATTTGATATAATCAGCTACCCTTCTGAAAAGCTGGATCAATTTGCTGGACACTAGAATCACTTAGGGAGCTTTTAAAAATCCCGATGCCCAGGTTGCACTGTGGACCAATCAAATAAGAATTTCTGGGGGCAGAACCCAGGCATGAGTGTTTTTAATCACTCCAAGTGATTCCGGTGTGTAGCAAAGTTAGGGAACTACTGTCTTAGAGATTCCAGAGCAGGATACTGAAGGTGCCTATGATGTTGACAGAATGCCAGTCTAGAACTCACTACAACAGGCCCATCACATGTCAAAGAAATAGACTTATAGCTTGTATAAGCCTGTTATTTAGAGTCTCAGTTATATCCACTGGACCTATATATTAAGTAATAAAGGTGGGTCACTGTCATTAAAACTGACTATATTCAACAGAGAAAAAACAAGAATCTTTTTCCCACTCACATTCTATAATAGTGATCATTTCTCCATATCCTTGTCAACAAGTATGCTGTTTAGAATCCTGGTCAATTATACATGAGCATCAGTTTCTTCAACTGTAGAATAATACCTGTCTTACAGGATTGATGTCATTATCAAGTTAGATGGTCATGAACATTATTTGTAAGTTATAATTTCTGTATACATTCTAGTTATTTTGAGGATAATGATCTGATAGACCTTGAATAGTTACATTAATTTTCAAGTCCTTTTAAAAATTCGGTGCCTTTGTTTTATTATGAAATTTGAGAAATTATAAAAAGAGGCTGCTATGTTCCAAAGTGTCCATTCTTCCTATCCCAAAGTGAGGAACATCAAACACATCCAGAGTGAATACGGCCAGAACAAACTATTTTCTAGGTATTTCCTCCCCACCAGAAATCTTAAAAGTGGTCAGCACTAGTTATAAATCAGTGAGGACTATGAACAGTGTTGTCAGCCAAAAGCGGTCTTCTATATCCAACTGCCACCAGTGTATCTGGTCAGAGAGGGAATGGGTTTCAGATGGAGCGTGTCCACGGAGCATCCCTCTGGCACCTGCTCTTTGCTTTCTCTAGATTAGTCTTGAAATGCCAGAAGCATCCCGAGCATCCAATAGCTCATGCGTCCGTATTACCGTTATAAATACAATAAAACTGGATGCTCAGTACTGATTATCAAAGTTGCCTATCACTAACATACTAATATTATTACTATAGAGAACAAATAATACTCACAACTAGCATTTCAGTGTTGTAAGGTAGGTGGGAAAGTTATCTATATGTTCTAAAAGAGACATTCAAAGAAGAACCCCTCAGCGGAACAGGAATCAGCCACTGGAAATTAGTGACATTGATTGATTGTGTTAATATTTTTAGATGTGTGTATGCCTCTGTGTACGTGCATGCATTGGTGACCAGATCACAGGGTGGGATGGAGTGAATGGCAAAGGTTGTGTGTGGGAAGAATAGAGGAATAAGGACTGACCCTTCCCCTAAGGAATATTTAACTTAGTTGGAATGTTCTTAAAAGATGGTCATTTTAAGAATGCCTACCTAATAGAAAATGAACTAAATGATAACAATGACAAATATTGTAACACTGCAATGCAGCCTTCCTTTTCTTTGCCCTCAACATAAATAGCAACATACCACTGCCAACTATTAACTCCACCAAAAGTCAAGAGACTTACAATTTGGATATTTTTGTACAAGGTTTTTAATTAATGCTCTGTCAGACTCCATGGTAAGCAGAATAATGGCTCCCTGAAGATATCTGGATCCTGATACCTGGAACCTATGAATTTGTTATTTTGCATTAAAAAGGGGATTTGCAGATGTCATTAAGGTTAAGGATTTTGAAGTACAGAGATTATTGTGGACAGACTGGGTTGGTGCCTCCAACTTAATCACATGAGTCCTTAAAAATAGAGAACCTTTTCCAGCTGAGGTCAGAATCAGAGGAGGATGTGACTATGAAAGCATGGTCAGAAAGCATGGAAGAATGCAATAGTTCTGGCTTTGATGATGAAGGAAGGGGGCTATGAGCTAAAGGATGTTGGTGCCTCTAAAAGCTATATCCTTTACAAACTAGAAAAGGCAAAGAAATGGGTTAATTCTCCCATAGAAAGAAATGCTATACTGCTAACCCCTTGATTTTATCCCAGTGAGACCCACTTCAGACTCCTAACCTACAAAATTCAAAGAATAAATTTGTGTTGTTTTGAGCCAGTAAATTTATGATGATTTGTTACAGCAGTCATAGAAAACTGCTCTTTTTAAAAGCTCTACGTCGAGAATGACTGACTCTCCCCTTTATCATACAGTTGTTTTGTTCTTGAGCAATAGATGGTGCTAAGTATCCATGTTTCTAGTGTTGTTAGCCAGCTCCTCCAATCTAAAATAATTAGTACCATATGATAACGGTTGAAACAGTTTCTTGTGAAAGTCTACAAGTCACATTGTTTCACATTCAGAAAACCTTCAACAGATAGCAGTGAACGCCAGGATGTTGGAAAGTTGGTTGCTATAATTCATAAGTAACTACTTATTAAAAACCCAAAGAACAATGGAACATGTTTTCTCTTTGCCCTATCCAATTGCTTACATGCCCTTGAAAATATTAAAAGGTGATCTCCACCCCCACCTTCAAAAGCAATGAACAAGTGAATTGGAGATTAGAAACTACAGAGAAAAGTCTGCAAAATGAGTTATGTGGCTGGTTTTTTTTTTTTTTTTATGTGTTTTCTTCATTTCATATGTGGTGTGGTGCAACACCTAAGAAAAGGCAGTGAAAGATGCCATTCACGTTTTTGCTTGCAAATTATTCTATTAAAATGTTTTACTAGTGCCGACTCTGAACAAACACAACATTATTTACATATAGGTCCTAGTGGACAAGATTGTATCTGTTTGGCTATTTTTTAATAGTCTGAAGTATGTGTATATGTAGATTTTTGATATTTGATTATTACAGTTTTTAAAAGCGGGATCTGTAGTCTGATAATATTTTGTACCACACTTCTAAACTCAATTCTCTCCAGTCTAATTGGATAAAATGGATGGTTGACATATTGGATTTGGTGACTAGCGTTGTATAATCTAGCATTTTGGTACTCAAGGAAACCTATTACAAGAGAGAAGGAGGGTGCATTCTGAGGTGTTCAGGGAGCCATGTGTTGGGAAAGGTTCAGGAGCACCCAGCGATCTCATTATCAATACAATCACCACTTTTATCCCTTTCCTTTTCTAAACAGTAAATTAAATATACTCATTTTCTGAAGATAAGCAAACACATCCCTCACTTTCAACTGAGAGTGAAGGCAGGAAATATATTCCCTCTCAGAGAAACCACAGACTCATGGGAACTGAATGTTGAAAGCTCTGAAATTCTGAGACCATTGACCAGAAACAGATAATGACAGAAATGTCAAGGGGACATCATGTAATGTCAAGGACACATTTCATTTCTGTTTAGGTAAATAACTTCTTAATCTTCTCTAAGCACAGTTCAAGACTTTATCTATTTGAAAACCTCTTCTATCACTCAAGAGCCAATCCCAGGAAGTCTTCTCTCCTATTTTAGGTAAAACTAAGGAGCCAAGGGAAAGACAGTAGCTTTGCATAGTGACTACCCCAAGCCAGTGTTTATTCTGAATACAATTGTTTTCTGTTTGGGCTGCTGAATTTGTAAAATTAAGAAAATATTTAAAGGGACTAAATCAGGTAACTGGAAAGAAATACAAGTCATCAAGGGCTATACAAATAAAAATATTCTTTAATAATTAAAGTTAATTTTAAAAATCTATTTTAGGTAAAGAAGAAGCCAGAGCTATGATTTCCAGTTGAGGAACCAGGGAATTGGCAATAATTTTAACTTTCAGCTGTGTCATAAAACATAAGAGCATTTTATTGTAAATCTTGGCAATAAATCTTTTTGTCCTGGGCAAAAGATTCTCACAACCTAATATTAAGAATTTATAGACATTATTTACATTGTATTTAAATACTTTTTAGAAATGGGGTGGGCAGCTGTGTGTGTGTGTGTGTGTGTGTGTGTGTGTGTGTGTGAGTGGCAGTGACCTAGGATGGGTAGGGTTGGGAGATAAGAAGGTGGAACAGTGACGCTGGTGGCTGAGAGGTTTTGAGAAATCAGTTTCATTTAAAACTGACTTAAATGACCACCAGAGGGACTCCAAAGTTCACTCATCGACACTGTACTTCAGGCAAGAAACACTTTGGAAGATTTAGATTTATGAATGTATCATGCTAAATAGTTAAAATATAGATAAAATACAGCAATACATATTGCCATTAATTCAGAGGAACAAACTCAGGTACTTAAAATTGAGAACTTTCAAAGACCACCAGTGGGGATAAAAAAGATCCTAGTAATTGATATGAAAGATCTATTAAACAGCTAAATTTAGTCCGTGTTCCCTGCTAACAATTTAAGACGCTGGTAGGCAGGCACTGTTTTATTTCACTACATTTCCAGTGTCTCTGTTCTGCCAGAAGGTGTTGCTATAATATAGCTGGGCTCAGAGGACAAAGTAATGTGGAATGAAATGTGGTCAGACTGGATAAAAATGTAAACCATATAAGTATATAGAATTCAGGCACAAAGATATCCATTATATGGGGAAAAGAGGGCTTTACTGTAAGTATGTGTCCCTGCTATAAATAGTTCAGCAAAATGTAAACATGAAATATTTCCCCAGTGATATTTGCAGCCATATAAACAGTAGCCCTACTTTTCTTTTCATTAACTCTCATTTCTTAATAAAGAGACTTCTGTAGAGTGAAATTTGGGCAAAAATAGC